GTAACGTTATTATTTTGTAACGGTAACTAATAATCATTTCCACATGCATTAAGTCGTGTTCTAGATTCACCCTCATCATATAAACGATTGATTTATCGAAGGCCCTCTTATAACTGGAGTTCCACTTTTTAAGGAATGTAGTGGACATTAAATCCACATTGTTATGCACGTCACGAATGCAAAGCAAATCGTCCCATTAGAAAAGGAGCATTCATTCCACTCGTAAAAAAAATTCATTCACTCGAAATGACCGAAACACGATCGGTTCTAGAGGGTCTGCTGGGGGTGGCATGCTGCAACAGCCTCCTTCGCATCCTCCCCATCTTCGTGCCGTGTTTTCGAGAGTTGGTGTCTCCATGATCGTAGTCCACATTCATCATGAGGCAGATGTAGCCACGTCCTTCCGAAAGATTCACGAGGATGGGCAAGTCAGGGTGCCGGAACTTCTACTGTATGTACTAAATGGTCGAGCGGGATTCACGTAGCTGCGGGTGGGACTTGTGAATCGACTTACAAGTCATCGTCGCTGCCGTCGGAACGTACGTCGTCGTGCATTTCAAGGAGGACGTGATCCTCTCCACAAACGGCTTCCATATCCATCTGGGGTGTGATGCCATGCACAATCTGCTCAAGGCACTGGCAACCGAATTCATGGCTTAGTTCGTTCCGTTCGTACACAGTGTCATGTTCTGAAATTCAATCCCACAGAGCTTTGGTTTTCTTTCTTGGAATTCAAGCAGGAAAATCTCCGACTCAACTCAAGCTCTGACCCCTATCTCACAACTCGAGTTTTACTTGCCCAGCCCACGGACTCACGTGAGAAGGTGAAGAAGAGAAGACCCCCATCTCGTCTACGTGATCCCCACCCGTGGGGGAAGGACAGAAAACGCTAGCATGTACTCCTCCATGAATCTAGAGAATAAGCACCCTTGCACCTTATTATTTGCTGAATATACTTGGAGAAACAGCCATGCGCATGCGAGACTTTGCTCGATTCAGACGGAGGGTTCAGCAGCCGCACACGGAGTGCGATCACGCCAGGGTGTGTGGTGAGTCGCACATGCCCGATTCCCAGGCTCGGAAGCGAGCCACATATCGGGTTCCATTTCATCAAGGTTATTTTGCTTGTCAACCCGAACGAGCGCCAAGGAGTCGATCGGTGAGAAAGCAGACCGGATGACATCGGCTGAAGCCAGTTCGCCGCCCACGAGAACGACTGCTTGTCTTCAGACAAGCTGAAGGTCGGCGAGAAGCCGCAGACTCCAGGAGGAGCGTCTTCGAAATCGGAGAAGGCTGCACGAGAATTACTCGCAGTGGGTGTGAACTCCAACGCCAGAACAACTCGACCTGGTGCTTCCGTCGACCTTGAAGGACTGGGACCGGATGCATTTCTTTGAAAGAGGATGTTTCCTGGAGTGGACGCTGGCCGCCGCGCCTCTTCCTCCTCGAAGTGGAGTTGATCCATCGAGGGTGGATCCATTTTCACAGAAGATGACCTCTTCTTCAAGAAAATTTTCTTGAAGAAGTTTCCCTTCCCCCTCTGCTTGATCCCGTCGACATCAGGTGACTCCTGATCCGGTCGATCAAAATCTGTTCCCTATTTTCAAATGAGGTGTAAGTTGACACGCATAGATACGGGAAAGCAAGACTCTCTTCCACTGTTGCTCAAAGGTAAGGCAATTTCAGAACTTTTGTCATGCAATGGAAGAAAGAAG